CACTGAAGTTTGGGCTCTGGAAGAGATGCAGAATTCACACCTTGAAAATGTGGCCCAGGGTGGCACCCAGTAGAATTTTCACACTGAAGTTTGGGTCCTGGAATGGATGCAGAATTCACACCTTGAAAATGTGGCCCAGGGTGGCACCCAATAGAATTTACACACTGAAGTTTCAGCCCTGGAACAGAAGAAGAGTTCACACCTTGAAAATGTGGCCCAGGGTGGCACCCAATAGAATTTTCACACTGGGGTTTGGGCTCTGGAAGGGATGCAGAATTCACACCTTGAAAATGTGGCCCAGGGTGGCACCCAGTAGAATTTTCACACCGGGGTTTGGGCTTTGGAAGGGATACAGAATTCACACCTTGAAAATGTGGTTCAAAGCAGAACATCTGAGATTTTACTCCTTGAAGCTCTGACCCAGGTATAAATTCAAAAGATTTTGAACTTTCTAACTGTGGCCCAGTGTCAAATGCCATAAAATTTTTATACTGAGTTTGTGACCCTTGATTCAGTTCAGAAGATTCCTCACCTTTCAATTTAAGCTTATTCTTGAATTTCTGAGATTGCTCATCTGAGGTAGAAGGTTTTATCCCTTGCAAATGTGGCTCATGATTGAAAACCATAAAATTTACACTTTGAAACTGTGGCCATTGATTCAATTTATGAGATTTCTCATCTTTTGGCTGATTTCCGGTACTGAATTCAGAAGATACCACACTATAAATCTTTGATTCCAAGGGCAGTTCAGAGTGTTTTACCTGTAATTCTGAGCCATGGTTGACCTCTATTGGAAGGTTTACGGAATCAGATTTCACTCCTTGGAGTTTCGCTCCTGGGTTAAATTCCATAGATTTCATACATGGTGTCAACCTGGATAATTCCTTATTTTGGAACTGTGGGAATGAATTGAACCCCAAAGATTTCCTATCTTGTACCTTACTTAGACACAATTCAAGAGATTTCACATCTTGCCACAGTGGCTGAGGAATTAATCCCACAGATTTCTCTTTTTGAAGCTTTGACCCTGGGATCACTTCAGAAGATTTCACACCCTGTAAGTATGGTCCAGAACTGAACCCTCTACATTTAATATCTTGAAGTTTTGTCCCCAGGATCAGCTTAGAAAATTTCACATCTTGCAACTGGGGGCCTGAATTGAATTTCACAGATTCCTCACCTTGAAGCTTTGCTTCTGGTATTAACTCAGATGTCACACCTTGTAGCTTTGAACCATGGTCAAACTCTACAGACTTCACATCTTGAAATTCCATCCCTTCAATCAACTCAGAAGATTTTTCACCTTGTATTTGTGATCCAGAGTTGAAGTCCACTGATTGAACAACTTGAAATTGTGTCCCTGGTATCATCTCAGAAGATTTTATACTTTTAAGGAATTTTCTAGAACTGAACTCCATAGATTTTATACCTCCAAGTTTTATACCCATGATCAGCTCAGAAGATTTCATATCTTGTAACTGAGGGTCTGAGTCTAGCGCTACAGATTTCATACCTAGAAGCTTCCTCCCCAGGGTCAAATCAGATTTCTCATCTTGCAACTTTGGAGTGGATTTGAATTCTACAGATTTCACATCTTGAAGCTTTCTCCCTGTGATCATTTCAGAAGATTTCACGCCTCGTAAGTGTAGTCTGGAACCGAAATTCATAGATTTTACATCTTGAAGCTTTATTCCTGTGATCAATTTAGAAGATTTCACATCTTGCAACTGTGGGCCCAAGTTCAACTCCACCCATTTTACTTCTTGAGGCTTTGTCCTCAGTATTGGCTCATTAGATTTTACACCTTGCAAACGAGGCCTAGGTTTAGAGTCTATAGCTTTGACACCTTGAATCTTGGTTCTCTCTGTCAGATCAGAATATGGTATACCTTTCAACTGTGAACTAGGGCTTAACTCAGTACCTTTCATATATTGGGACTTTGTCTCAGGTGTCAACTTAGAACATTTTACACTCTGCCTCTGGGGCCCAGAGTTGAACTCCTCAGATTTCATACCTTGAGGCTTTGTCTGAAGAGCCAATTCTGATGATTTTATACTTTTCAAGTGTATTACAGAGTTCAACTCTACAAGTTTATCATTTTGTAATTGTGGCCCTTGACTTTTTATCTCTGATCTCACCCCTGAAAGTTGTGGCTCTTGTGTATACACTAGAGACTTCACACCTTGAGGTTCTGTTCCTGGGGATGACTCCAAGGGTTTCACTTCCTGCAGCTGTCCTGAGGTCAACTCTGAAGATTTTAAACTTTGCAAATGAAGCCCAGATTTGAACACCATTGATTTTATATCACAGAGTTTTGACCTTGAGGTTGGGTCACGTGATTTTGTACTTTTCAACTGCAGCTCAGATTTCAAATCAATAGATTTGAAGTTTTGAGGCTGATACTCCTGGAGTGATTCCAAAGGTTGTACACTTCTGAGCTTTGACCTTTGAGTCAAATCATATGTTTTCACATCTCTTAACTGTATTGAAGATTTTGACTCTAGAGCTGTGACACTCCAAGATTGTGACTCAAGATTTACCACAGATTTCATATTTTGGAATTCAGATATTGGAATCCACTGAACAGACTTCTTACTTCCAAGCTGTGTCCCTTGGTCTAACTCCACAGCTTTCACACCTTGAAGCTGTGGCTCTGAGGTTGAAATTTTTTTCCCTTTTTGCAGCTCTAGTCCTGGGGACAACTCAGGAGTTTTCAGACACTGACCATGAGGCCCAAGGTTAAAGTCCATAGATTTTGCACCTTGAAGTTTTGGCCTTAGAGTCAGTTCACATACTTTTGTACTTTTCAAGTCTATGGAAGTTTTCAATCCTGCAGATTTAACACGTTGAGATAGTGGCCCAAGATTTAATCTTACAGCTTTCAGGCCTTGGAACTCAGGTCCTGGTATCCACTGCACAGATTTCCTACTTCTAAGCTGTGGCCTTTGGTGTATTTCCACAGTTTTCACACCTTGAAGCTGTGGCTCTGAGGTTGATGCAAAAATTTTCCTTTTTTGTACCTCTGGTCCTGGAGTCAGTGTAGAGGTTTTTATACACTGCAACTGTGGCTCATGATTAAGCTCCATAGATTTTGCTTCTTGAAATTTTGGCCCTATAGACAATTCAGATGGCATCACTTCTGAAGTTTTTAATTCTTCAGGTTTGACACTTTGATATTGTGACCCAAAGTTTAATTCTACAGATTTCACACCTTGGTACTCTGGTTCTGGTATCCAGTTAATATATTTTATACTTTCAGACTGCAGTTCTTTGTCTAACTCCACAATTTTCGCATCTTGAAGCAGTGGCTCTAAAGTTGACTCCAAGGGTTTCACTTGGTACAACTGTGGTCCTGGGGTCAACTTGGAAGATTTTATACTTTGCAGCTGAGGTTCACATTTGAACTCTCTCTCTTTTACATCTTGAATAATTGATTCTGGAGCCAATTCAAATGATTTTGTATCTTTCAGTGGTAGCTCAGAGTTGAGGTCTAGAGATTTTATACCTTTAGATTTGGGCCCTTTTAAATTCAAAGATATTATACTTTCTGACTCAGATCCCCTTTTTGGTTGCTCTAAATCCACACATGTCCTCTCCAGTGAATTTATAAATATCTGGTCATCCTGCTCAGGCCCAAGAGTTAAATCCACAGGTACCATCCCTTGAAACTGTTGCCTTGTGGCTAAGTCCACAGATTTTACTTCTTGAACTCCTTCTCTTCTGGTTACACTCACCTGCCTTTTTACTGTTGGAGTCAACTTCACAGATTTTTCATATTGCAGCTGTGAATCTGGAGTCTCCTCTACAAATTTTAAATTTTGTATCTTAAAACATGGGGTAATTTCCACAAATTTGGAATCTTGCATTTGTGGCTCTAAAGCCAATTCCTTAGGCTTAATACCTTGCAGTTCCGGTTGTTGAGAAATCTCCATAGATTTAACACCTTGAAGCAATGGCTCAGGTACAAAAGCCACAGAATTCTCATCTTGCATCTTTGAGCCATGTTTTGATTCCATAGCTTTTATATCTTGATTCTGTATACCTGGGACCAACTCCACAGTTTTCAAATCTTGAATTTTTGAACCTGGAGTCAACTCCATGGATTTCATATCTTCAACCTTGCAATAAGGGGCAAATTCCACAGAGTTGAAATCTTTTGTCTGTGGTCCCAAGGTAATCTTTATGGATTTCACACCTTCCTTTTGAGAACTTGGAGTTATCTCCATAGATTTTATACCTTCCTGACATGGTTCTGGCATTAAGACCACAGATTTTATATTTTCCAACTGTGGTCCTGAAGGTAGTGATGCAGATCCTAAAACCTGAATCTTTGAAGCTAGGGTGAGCTCCTTAGGTTTCACACTTTCTGCCTGTGGCCCTGGAGTTAACACCATAGATTTGACTTTTCCCAGCTCTGGCTTTGGTGTTAACTGCACAGATTTTGTATTTCCCAAATGTGGCCCTGGGACTAGTTCCACAGATATCTTATCTTCTAGCTGTGTTTCTGGGATTGGTTTCTCAGATTTTAAGTCTTGAAGCTTTGAGACTGGAGTCTGTTCCACAGGTTTTACATTTTCCAACTGTGGTACTTGGACTAATTCAGATTTTATACCTTGTGACTGTAGTCTTCTGGCCAACTCATTATGATTTACACTTGATAACAGCATCCTAGGAATCAACTCCATAAATTCTGCATATGCTATCTGTGGCTCTGGGACTAATTTATAAGAAATTTCACCTTCAAACTGTGGCACTTGGTTCATTGTTACGTATTTTACATCTTGAAACAGTGGTTCTGGTACTAACAACTCTGGTTTAGACCCTTGCCTCTCTGGCTGTGAGGTGAACTCCAAAAATTGCCCACCTTGAGGCTGTGGCCCTGAGATTAACTGTGAAGATTTCACTCTTTGAGGTTGAGTTCCTGATGTTGTATCCAAAAATTTAACATCTTGTAGGCATGGCCCTATGTTAAGCCCAGCCTGTTTAATGTCTGGAAGCCCTGAAGACACATTTGTTAATTTGTAATCAGGCAGCCCTAACTCTGGAGTCATTTCAATCCCTGACCCTGGGGTTTGCTTCCCAAATTTGACACCTTGAAGCTTTGGCCCTGAGGTCAATCCAGAAAATTTGGTATCTTGCTGCCATAGCTCTAGATTTTCTTCCTCAGGTTTTTCACTTTGTAGTTTCGAGGTCAATATCATAGATTTCATTCTGTAAAACTGTGATCCTTCAGTAGACATAACAGATTTCATATCCTCAACCTGTGGCTGTTGGCTTAACTGCAAAGATGATTCTGGTACAAACCCTAGAAAATTTTTATCTTGAAGCTCATCCCTTGGTATAAACTGTATACGTTTGAAACTTTGATGCTTTGGCTCAGGGATCAAATCAGAAAATTTGACATCTTGCAAGCTTGGTCCTGGGCTTAGTTCCACAGATTTCACACCTTGAGGCTGTGGTTCTGGAATCAGTGGTACTGATTTGACACTTTGATGCTTTGTCCCTGTGATAAAATCAGATAATTTGATGATTTCTTGTACTGGGGAACCTGGGGTCATTTCATCAGATTTCACACTATAATGTGGAGCCCCTGAGAGTAAATCCATAGGTTCTTCTTGAAGAAGTGTATCTGGAGATGAGTTGGAAAATCTAACACTTTGCAACTGTGGACCTGGAGTCACTCCAGAAGATTTGACACTTGGCTGCCATGGGCCTAGATTTAAATATGCAGATTTCACACTGTGTTTCTGTGCTCCCTTAGTCAATTCCTCCAATAATGTACCTTGTATCCCTGGCTCTGGTTTTGGCTTCTCAGATTCTGCCACTCTGGTAGTTGACTGTTGGACTGAATGCACACATTTTGCACCTTTCCACTGAGACTCTGGATCAATTTGCTTAGACTTTACTCCCTGGAGTTGTGGCCCTGAGATCAAGTCTGTAAGATATGGTTTTGATCCTGTAATTAAAGTTTTAGATCCAACCACTAGTGGGGGTGGCTCAGAATTTAGTTTAACAGATTTCAAATTTTGTGGTAATGACCCTGATTTTTCATAGCGTATTTCTGATCCTAGAGTCAACCCCAGAGAATATAGTTCTGGGACAGCCCTCTGGGTCTTATCAGCTTGAGAGAATACCAACCCCATGGTTTCTGCATCTTCAGATTCTGCCTTTAAGGGTATCTCTGACAATTTGGTAACTTCTGAATGTGATTGTGTATTTAGAGGAACAAATTTCCTACCTTGGGACTGTGGCTCTGGGGTCAACATCTTTGATTTTACATTTTGCACCTCTGATCCTGGTATCAAGTCCAGAGATTGTTTTATTGTGTGTTGTGGTTCTGGAGTCTCCTCCATCACTTTTACAAGTTGGAACACAGTCTCACAAGTGTCTTTGAATGATGTTGGACTCATATTCATAGATTCTGTTAATGGCACTGGGGTAATTTCTAAATATGGTTGTGTCAACCCAACAGATTCTCCTACCTGGTGACAAATGTCAGAGGTAAGTTTTACCTTTGTGCCTTGATGTTTTGGCTCTGGGATCATTCCTAAATATTCTGAGACTTGATGCCATGGAGTCAATCTTTCAGGCTCTAGGGCTTGATAATCTGGTTTGAGGTTCAACTCTACAGATTTCACTGCTTGAAGTTGTATACCTGGGATTACTTCCCCAAATTTCACACTTTGCACTTGTGACTCAGGAATTACTCTTCTATATTCTACCATTTGGGGAGTTTTTACATCTTTAGACAATGCTACTGGGGCTGTCTTCTCAGAGCTGATATTTTGTACTGATGGTTTTATATCTTCCAGTGGTGTCTTTAGGGTCAATTCCACAGTTTTTGTATCTTTAAACTCTGGTGGTAGGTCCAAATGAGCATAATCTCTATCTTGATACTGTGAATGGGGGCTCAAATCTATCGTTCTCCTACTTATCAACTGTGGTGCTAGGGTTAACTCAGCAGATTTTACACTTTGCAGTTGTGGTCCTAGAGCGAGTTGGATAGATTCCACATCTTGAGGCAGAGACTCTGGGGCTGACTGCATAGATTTCTCACCTTGTTGCAGCTGTGGTATGGAGGTTAACTCTTTAGATTTTATACTCTGCCATTGACACTCTGGGATCAAGCTTGTAGATTTTATAGTTGGTGTCAGCTGTCCATATTTTGCCACTTGTGGAACTAAACCTGTGGTTGTATCTACAGATTTCATACTTTGCAACCTTGGTCCTAGGACCAGGTTCTCAGATTTTAAATCTTGCAATTCTGGGGATAATTTCATAGACTCCACAATCTTAACTTGTGACTTTGGCTTCACCTCCATATATTTCACACCTTCAAGCAATGATGTAGTAGTCATTACAGCAGATTCTGTGACTTGATGCAGTGGCTTTTGGTTCATTCCTACAAATTCTGTACCTTGACCTGGTTTTCCTGGGATTGTCCCCAAAGATTCCATTATTTGATGGTGTGACTCTGTCAGCTGTGTAGATTTGCTCATTTTTAGCCATGTGTCAGTGGTCAACCCCATAGTTTCTGTTACTTTATGGTTTTGCCTTGAGCTCATCTCTGAATATTCCAGGACTTGACAGCATGGGCTCAACTTTGAAGGATCCATGACCTGATGAGATGTTCTTGAAGTTAACGACATAGATTCTGTGCCTTGATGCTGTGGTTCTGAAGTCATGTTCACTGAGTTGTGCACTTGGCTCTGTAACCCAGAAGTCAATTCCAAAGATTCCTTGACTTGAGATATTGGCTGTGGGGTCAAACTCTGAGATTCTATAACTTGTGACTGTGGTACTGTGATCATTCCAAAGGGCAACCCCAATGCTACGGGAGTTACCTTTACAGAATGTACAGATTGATATGATGGTGTTAGAATCATTCTTGCTGATTTTGTGATGTTAGGTGGTAGCTTTGGAGGTAAAATCACAGATTCTACAACTTTTAGTGGGGCAAGAGTTGTAGGAGGGCTAAGGGAAGAAGTTAAACCAACTGGTTGAGTTGACCTTGGGGTCAAATTTGTAATTTGAGACTGTGAATCTGGGGTCAAACCCCCATATTCTGTAACATGTGGCTGTGCTAATGGAATTATCCCCATGGCATTCATGGTTTGTAGTAACACCACTGGAGTTATTTTCTTATAATCCATGACTTGATGTAATGGTGTTGAGACAGTTTCCAATGGTTTTGTGTACTTATGTACTGGCTCTGGAGTAGTCTTCACTTGTTCCATGGCTTGACTTTGTGACCCCGGGGTCATGCTCACTGACTCCATGACTTTATGCTGTGGCCCTGGACTCATTTCTATAGTTTGCATCACTGTCTGTTGTGGCCTTGGACTCATCTCTTCTGGTTTTATGGTTTTCTGGTCCAACAATGTGTCCATCTTCTCTAACTTCATGACTCGATGTTGTGGCTTTGGGATCATTCTCATGGATTCTATGATATGTGGATGCGATTTGCTAGTCATCCCCATGGAATCCATGACTTGAAGCAATGCTACAGGAGTTATCTTCACATTGTCTGGGACCCGATTCCGTCTTGAGTTCATCCTCTCTGATTCCACATCTTGTTGCTGAGGACTTGGGGTTATCTCCATTGACTTGATTAATTGATTTGGTGATTTGGGGGTTATACTCATTATTTCCTTGGGCTGGATTGGTTTTACAACTTGATTTGGCGGCTGTGGAAACAAACTCATAGATTCTATCACATCTGAATGTGATTCTGGGATCATTCCCATTGAATTCATGACCTGAAGCAATGCCAATGGAGTTACCTTTAGGTTATCTGTGACTTGATATGGTAACCTTGGGGTCAGCTCCACATCAGTCACTTGTGTCTTATGCTGCTGTATCCTTTTTTCTGGAAGACCTATGACTCTCTGTTCTATACTAAGCTCTAGCACATGCTTTGGATCCTTCTTCAATAAAGTGGCTTCTTCTTGAATTATGTTAACTCCTAAACTTCTGGGAGGTGGAGAGCCCATTGACCTAACTAAATGCTTAGATCCAAGAATTTGGGGATCATCCCCAGGTTGTAACTGCTTATTTGAGATAAATGACTGTGAAATTTTTGTTTCTGTCCTATTTAATCCAGATTCCACACCAATGTTCACATGGAGCTGAAATGATGGAAGGTCTGGGGATTTATTATTGGTATTTTGCTCAGTGCTTTGATGAATAGGTATAGATAATTGAGTTTGGGTATTCTCTGGTCCAGGGACTCCTGCTTGTATTAAATAATTCAGCATTGCCCATGATTCCTTCACAGGTGAGGGCACTATTTGTTCCCGCAAAGTACAGACCTTCCAAGACATATGCCCTTCTAGCTCTCCTCTAGCCAAAGGAGAAAGCTGGAGTGGAGCCCAACTTGGGAGTTGTGATCTCTCTTCTGAAACCGAATTTGGCCCCTCATCTGCTACCAAATGACTCTTGCTCCTTTTCTTATCTTTTGTTTTCTGTTGTTGTTTGCAGTGACCTTGGGATTCAAAAATAGAGTTAATAAAAGAATTTTGAGGCTTCAGAGATGAAAGAGCTGCCAAATTCTGAAAAAGTTCTGATTTCTCAGGCTCTGATAGCCAAAAAGGGGGCAGGGATGTGTCCTGGTTCCTGAATACAGATGATTGCTTTTGAGGAGAAACAGGTAAACTTTTGCTCTGGAATTGCCAAGTTCTTCCTTCAGAAAAGATAGGAAGGTAAGACAGGCTGGAGCTGGTGCTTGATGATCCAGAGGAGATAACATTGTCAGTAGAAAGTTCTGCCTTCATACAGTCACAACTGGGTAGAACAGCCTCCTGAGCCACAAGAATAGAGGAGGAGGAAGAGGAGGAAGAAGTCACATCCTGGTGTTCAGGCAAACCCAGTTCCATAAGACTTGATCTAAGAAATAAAGAGACAAGTTTCCAATTATTTGCTTTGGAATCAGAAAAGGAAAAAGAGGAAAAGGAAAAATATGTTTGGCTTCAGGGGAGATTTGGGGGGAAAAGTTGTTTTCCCCAACATCATTTACATGTGCAAAGAGTTCTTCCACCAGGACAAAGAGAAACAACATTCCCATTCTACTCAGATATGATCCTTAAACTAGTTTGAACCCAGAATTTTGCTCACTGCCAGAACTAAAACTCTCCTTCCCTTTTGCCTCCCGCCTTTACTCTCTTCCTTCCTTCCTCTTAAATCCTTTTAAATGCTTTACCATCTTCAATCCCCCAACCAGAAACTATGTTCCCTGACCTTGCATTTTCCAGGTGTTGGAAGATATGTTGAAGACTCTTGCCCATTGACCAGAGTATATAATCCTGGGTCCAGCTCACGGGGAGTTCTGAAATACTGGATGTAACAGAATATATCAGTATGATTGAAGTGATATTAAAACACCAGTAAGCAAAACAATAAGAAACAACTTAGAAAGGAGACAACGATTACAATGAAGGAAGTTAGCATTTCAAGTATTTATTCCTAAATTTTATGATTAAGATAATTTATCAGTAGTACAGGCTGAAGACAGGCTTCACTCACTCACCATGTTGGATTAGCTTCAATGCAATCCATCCTGATGTTTTCTTCCAACTGTGGAACTGGGAATAGGAGTGAAGAATCTATTAGCAAAGTGACTATTTATATCATTTAGCACAACCTCCTCATTTTGCAAATACGGAAACAAAGGTGAAGTCATGCCCAAGGTTATAAAGTTAATGAGTGGTAGAGATCAGATCTCAAGTTAAAAAAAAAAAAAGATGTTGCCTTCATTATGTAGTAGATGTCACCATTGGGAAGAGGAGGAATAACCATGGGAATAGGACATTGGAGTGGTAAAACAGAGGTCCTGATGATTTGTCTTTTCCTTCAAAGGAGTCTACCCAGCATCTATGGTAGGGAAATAAAGGTTTAACAGGTCCACTTCATGTTTGAATACAGTCCTTGCTGCTCTGCACCTGTGATTTATTTATTTATTTTTGTTACCAGGGATTGAACTTAGGGGTGTTCCTAGGTTCCTAGCCACATCCTTAGCTCGTTTTTTTTTTTTCTTTTTTTGAGACAAGGTTTTTGCTAAATTGCTTAGGGCCTTGCTAAATGGCTTGGAATTTGTAACCCTCCAGCTTCAGCCTCCAAAATTTCTGGGATTACAGGTGTGTGCTACCATGTACACCAGTGGATTATTTTTAAAAAACATGTTTCTTTCTTTTCTCTGTCATTCCTAAACTCCCATCCATAATCTAAGGGGAAACAGTATTAGCTTTCTTTCTAATCCTAGACAGAGTTATCTGCCCTTGAGCACATACCCACTACAGGAACAAAGTAATTCAGATTTGGGATACTGCCAGAAGATCTAAGAAATGACTGTCTCCCAAATTCACAAGTGAATTACAACCCAGGACAGGGAACGCATGAAATATAACCTTTGTACCACCTCTTTAAAAACTCTTTGTTACCACTGATGTGGAGACTCACAGCCTCTGGGATAGGAGTCTCTGTGTTTCTCCTTGGTAGCAAACACTTCTTTTTCCTTTTTCTCAAAACTGTGTTCTCATTATTGGATTGGCATCCAGGACAAGAACCAAACTTTTAGTAAAAAAATATATTGAAATTTCCCTCACCAAACTCCTAGTAGTGAGTCTTTGTCCATTCTCTTATGTGACCAAGTTTCTTTCCCATACTGGGCTTTGCATAAAAGTAGATGAAAAAAGGAAGCAAGAGGAAAGCCATCGTGGAAGGAATTATGGAGTTGTTTCTGTCTCATTAGAAGTGGAGATGCTAGAAAGAATAGGCACACTCCCTTCGTTTATATTCTCTTTTTCAACCTCCCTCTGTTATTTAAAGCAGATCCACAGTTGATATATCATTAGCCTTGAACTGAAGAGTAAAGGATAGGACTTTTCTGACCTGTGGGTTTCTGGATCTTTTTCGATTTATGCTGGTTTGAAGTCTAGAGAAGCACAAAAAGAAAAAAAATAAAATTGGGTTATGTTCTAGGTTGGAGATTTATTGACAGCACATCTCACTTATAGCAGATATTAATATATCTTATATATCAGATATTGATACAGATGGCATCTATAACCATATCATTAATTACCACCTTGTTTATTTAATTATGATTTTTGAGTACTTGCTAAGCTGGGTGCTGAACTACAAAGATAAATATAATTCCTATACTTTTTGAACTTATATTAGTAAGGAAAATAGACATCTAAGCAGATAAGTTAAAATACCATGTGTAAGTGCTATAACAGAAATATAAAAATTAGGGAATGCAGAGAAGAGTGATTAGCTTCTTGTGAGAAAGGAAAAATTACTTAATAAATTGCCATTTTGTAGTAGAGTTTGAAGAATCAGCAGAAGATTTTTAGGTAAAAAAAGATCACTGCGGACAAATGGGAAAATCACTGAAAAGATCAACATATCACAGTTGTCAGGTGCACTTTTGCTAAGTTGTGGGAGATAAGGCTGAAAACGTAGGTAGAAGCAAGATTGTGCCTAATAGTAGAATTTTAATTTTGTTCTACAGGTCATAGTTTCCCAAGAGTGGTCGGTAAATTCTAGGTTTTTTGCAAAGGTGATACAGGTCTTTTCAAAGACAGTAATAACATTTGTTACCATTTTAAATAAAGCACTTTATTTCTCCTCTTTAAACCTAGGCATCAGTCTCCTGAAAGTATCAAAAGAGCCTACACAACATTTAGTGGGGACTTCACGAACACTCAGAACTCAATAACACAATTTACCACTCAGCCAAATCCCTTCTGGCTGCAATGGTAATTTTGAACCTTTAGACAGTTTTTAATTGATTTTCTGTTTAGTCATATATTATTTAGTATATTATTTAAGAACTTATGTCCACAATGGACCATTGATTAAAAATAAGAGGCAAAAGGAAAACCAATTTTGAAATACTGTTGAACCACGACGGAAAGAAAAGACCACAACAGAAAGAAAAGACCACCAACTCCAATTTTAGATCAAATTAAAGCAAGCTTATATTGTGTACACAAAGAAGGCTGGCCAGCGACTGTCTCCCAAAACCAGGCTAGAGATCAGCCCAGCTCTCAGGGAAGAAGAGATTTATATAGCACAAAAAGTTACAAAGCGGGGTGTCTTGGGAACTTGCAACTAACAGGGTTCTAGCAAACAAAACAAGGGCAGATAGCAGATTAATGATCTACATGGCATAATATTTCAAGGTAGGGCTAAATTCAGATCCCAACATGAGAATTTATGAGGCACTGCTAAGGTTTCAGAGAGGGTTATTATCTGGTCAAGGAGACCCAGTCATGGGTGAGTTCAGAGCAGGGGCAGGAATTTCAAACAAGTTTAAACATCAGTTTGTCAGGCCAAATAGAAATCTTAGTATTTTATAGTAAAAAAGAAATGAACTTTTTATAACTTTGTAACAAGATGATTCCCAAGCTTAAGATGGAATTTGGTTGGGTTCATCAATGCAGATTAATATACTTAAAAATTATGAATATATGTATGAAATACATATACTAGAGTATATACATACACACATATATATGATATATACATTTTACATATATGCCTATATATGTGAAATGTATATACCAATGTGTATGTATATATAAACATCTATATTATTTTTAGAGAGAGAATTTTTTTTAATATTTATTTTTTAGTTTTTGGTGGACACAACATCTTTATTTTATTTTTATGTGGTGCTGAGGATCGAATCCAGTGCCTTGCACATGCCAGGCGAACGCACTACTGCTTGAGCCACATCCCCAGCCCAACATCTATATTTTCAAAAATGTAAAAAATATATATGTATATTATACACTTCTGTGTGTTATTGGGAATGGGACCCAGGGCCATGCATGTGCTAGGCAAGACCCTACTACTGAACAATATCCACCACCCTTTTTATTTTACTTTGAGAAGGGGCCTTGCTAAATTGCCCAGGCTGGTTTTAAATTTGCAGTCCTTCTGCCTCAGTCTCCTGAGTAGCAGGGATTAGCCACCATACATGCCTGACATCTGTGTGCATATTAATCTCAAATACATATTATAGACCTAAATAATATGAAAACACATCACAAAACTCCTGGAAATGCTGAATAAAATACAACATTCTTTTAAATGCAGAATTTAGCTCTTGTGGGGAAAAAAAAGGAAAATCAGGGTGAAAATAATTTTTTTTAATGCAGTCAAGAAGCCAAGCATAGTGGTACACACCTTCAATCCCACCAGCTCAGCCGTTCGGGAGCCTGAGGTAGGAGTTCCAAGCAACTTTGTGAAACCCTGTCTCTAAATAAAATAGGGCTGAGGATGTGATTAAGTGCTTCTGAATTAAATTCTTAGTTTAAAAAAAAAAAAAAGAATTCACCAAGATTTGCAAATACCCAAACAACTTACAGATGTCAATATAATTTTCTCTATAGCAGCAAAAATCTATAAAGATATCACTTAAAATAATAAAATATCTCCTTCAAAATAGCATTAAAATTAAAAACTTGTGCTAGGCATCATGGCACACACCTGTAATCCCAGCTACTTGGGAGGCTGAGGATCACAAGTTTGAGGCCAGCCTGGGCAATTAAGGGAGACCCTGTCACAAAATAAAAAAGGCTAGGAATGTAGCTCGGTGATACAATGCCTCTGAGTTCAATCCCCAGTACCAAAACAACAACAGAAAAAAAAAAAAAAAAAGAGAGAGAAACAAACTTGCTATCACTGCTAACCCCAAAGGAACTGCAAGGAAAGCTGCCTTCACACTAAAAAGTTTAGGGGACTAGAGATAAGTCCTTGGGAAGCTATAACAATAGGCTGGCTTTTGTGTAATTTGAAGCTCAAGTTCACCATCTGAATGGTTCCCAAAACCTTTTTAAGTCCTCGATTGATAATGCCATAGTCAAAGTAAATGAAATATTCTCTAAGGAAGACCTTCATCCCAGGCTTCAATAAAATCCCTATAAATATTACATTTCATTTTGCTGTGAATCTAAAAATTGCTTTTAAATAGTCTCTTTTAAAAGTAAATAACTGGAGGGGCTGGGGATGTGGCTCAAGCAGTAGGTAGCGTGCTCCCCTGGCATGGGTGTGGCCCGGGTTCGATCTGCAGCACCACATACAAACAAAGATGTTGTGTCTGCCGAAAACTAAAAAATGTAAATAAAATATTTTTTTAAAAAGTAAATAACTGGAACTTTTCAAAATTTAGAAAGTCTGAGATTCAAGCCTTAGATGCAAGAGGTGTTATCAAACAACATAAAGAAAAGCCAAACTTAAGTTCACTGTATAATGCTGAAAAGACAAAGAATCTTTAAAACAGCCAAAGATAAAACATACATTATATTCAAAGGAGTAATAAGATGATTAGTTGATATATTGTTAGAAATATTGGGAAACAGCCAAGTATGGTGGCACGAGCCTATAAATCCTAGGTATTTGGGAGGCCAATGCCAACCTCAGCGACTTAGTGAGATCCTGTCTCAAAATAAAAAATAAGTAGAGCTGAGGATATAGCTCAGTGATAGATCACCTGGGACTCAATCCTAAAATGTGTGTGTGTGTGTGTGTGTGTGTGTGTGTGTGTCTAACAGAGAGAGGGAGAAAGAAATATATATGTACATATATATATAGAGTGAAGTATATATATAGATAGATAGATATGTATATATGTGTGTATATAATTTATATTTATATAAAGCCAGAAAACAGCTGGGGTTGTAGCTCAGCAGTAGAGCACTCACCTACCACATGTGAGGCCTTGGGTTCAATCCTTAGCACCACATAAAAAGAAATAAATAAAGGTCTTATGTCCAACTATACCTAAAAAAATAAATTAAAAAAAATAAAGACAGAAAACAACAGAATTATATTCTTTAATGTGCTAAAAGAAAATAAATACCTACCCTAGACTTTTTTTTTGTATTAAACAAGTGTTTCATCTCTGAACTGCATCCCCATCAATCCTCTTTTATTTTAATTTTATTTATTTAAGTTTTGGGTATTGGGGATTGAACCCAGGGGCACTTTACTACTGGGCTCTATCCCCATTTCTTTTTTAACTTTTTGAGATAGGTTCTTGCTAAGTTGCTGAGAGCCCCGCTAAATTGCTGAGGCTAGCCTTGAACTTGTGATCCTTTTGGTTCAGCCTCCCAAGTTGCTGGTATTCTATAGGTGTATACCACCATGCCCAGCTAGACTTTAATACTAGTGAAATTACCCTTCAAATTTGAAGGTGAAATAGAGTAATAAACAACAACAACAAAGAGAAATAGAATAAAAAGCAAACTACATAGTATGTTTAATTGATCTGGCTAAAGCTTCCAGAAAAATGTTGAATAGAAGTTGTGAAAGCAAGATTTACTCCAAGAATGCAACATAAAAAAAAAAAAATCTAGGCTGGAGTTATGGCTCAATAATATAAGGGAAAAACATGATCATATCAAATGATGCAGAAAAAGCATTTGACAGTCCAATGCCCATTCACGATAAAAATAGTAAACTAGGAATAGAAAGAAATTTCCTCAACATAATAAAGTTTGACATTGCAATGGATCAGCAGTTTATGCTTCCCCACCCTGCTTTCCAAATAAATGTTTAAGTCCTAAGCCCTGAGGTAATATTATTAATATGTGGGTCCTTTGTAGGTGATTAGGTCATGAGGTGGGATTAGTGTCCATATAAAGTGGATTCCAAAGTTATCCCCCACCCTTTCTGCCATGTACAGACATTAGGAAGTAGGCAGTCAACAACTAAGAAAGGGCCCTCACCATGCTGGCACCATGATCTTGAACTTCCCAGACTCCACAGTATGTCAAATAAATTTCTGTTACTTGTAAGCCACTTAGCATTTTGTTATAGAAACTTATGCAAAGACAGAAATTGGTTTTCAAGTAGGTGTACCAGGGTAATGAATACCTAAAAGTATGTAACAGGAAGAGGTGGGAAGAGTTCTGAAGTTCC